TTTTAGAGAAATTTGGCATTTCTTCTCTTGGATAAGGGGAATTGTCATGTACAGTCGTCGCATATGCATGTAAACCCCGGGATGAGAAAAAAGGGGCGTTGAAGTAGACTTTCCATAAAGTGGACCCACCACTTCCTTGGGGAACCTTGCCCCAATAGGATGTCTTGCGATTCCTTTCCCCATTGGGGACTACACTTAGGATCTACCATGAAGGTAACCACTGGGGGAGACAAGCGTGAGCCTGAAATTTCCCGTGCTTGAAGTTTTGCAAAGGGGCCCTGGTGCCACCCCGGGTCAAAAAGCGCCAGCAAGGGCCCCATGCTCCCAAACACAGTTTGATTTTTTGGATTCATCCATTTGGGACGGGTTCCATTTAGTGGAGGGGGTTAACAACAGATCGGGCAGCAAGTAACCCTTTCCGAACCCAAATTAAACGTTCAAAAAGGGTAGTAGGGTAGTCAAAAAAAACTGTCATTTGTCTTGAATTTTTGTCCCCAAGGGACTTACCATTGATTGACGGGAGGGGACACTGCCCGGGTATTTTCCCTTAAATTTCTGCTCTGCCCTTTTTTTTGGTAAAAACCAGGGACTACATTTGCCTCTTTCCAGGAGAGGGCCTTTTGGCCCGAAACGGGCCCGGTGGGGGAAAAGATGCAAAGTTAAAAGGTGTGCAGCGGGTTTCCTGCACATCTTCTCAACAATCGGGGGCTCAACTTGTCGGGGCCCACAGCCTTTTCTTTGGCCAAGTGTTTTAAAAAGGGAAATGCACCTCCTCCTCCCAAATTTTGCCCCCCACATTTTTTTAAAAACATTTTTCTTGCAGCTACCAAGGGGGGCCCCTTTGCTGGTCGGGAACTTGCTTTTTGGGTTTTAAAAATTTGTTACCCAAAAAAGGTCCGTTTTCCCTCTTGACTACTAGTAGAGGTGGCCCCACCTGTCGATTTAGAGGGGGAATAAGTTCATCGGGCGAAAAATTTGGGCCTGTCCTTGACCAGGGACCACCGGGTTTTTGGAGCCTACCCTCCCTTATGCTAACTTTCTTTTAGTGCCCAAACTCCCTTTTTAGCAATGGCCATTTTTAAACATCCCCCCCATATGCTTACACTGAAAGGGTCAAGTTCCTGTTATGGGTGGAAAGGAGGTCCTTAAAACCTTCCCCAAAGCTTTGTACTTAGAGTAGCACCTCTCTAAAAACGAAACCCCAAACCAAGGCTAAATCTTTTAGGCTTTGTCACATATTCCCGGGTGAGGAATGTGTTCTTTTTTTGCAGATTAAGGTTTGGCCATAAAGGGTTTTTCCCACTTGGTTTTAAACCCCCCCTGAAAGAGCATTCCAGTCCGGGGGTGGCGACCTCAGAGCAAAGGGTGGCCAAATTTTTTCCTCTTTCCCATAGCCAGGTGTGGGGTGTGGGCCCTCACCTCGTTTTGTTTTGGGTCTTAAGTGTGGTAAAAACAGCCTTGGGTCAGACATTTCCCAAAGAGCCGAGGGGGTTTACAAGGTGGGGGGGGGGCTATCCCTTTTGGGCCCGATCCCCTCACAACTGGGGCAAGGGAGGGGCAAAAGATAGGGGTAGGGAAATCAACAAATTTCTCATGTCAAACACTGCAAGAAGGTCAAACAAAGTCCCTCTGTATAAAGGGGCTGGTTGAGGGCACCAACAATTATAATAGTTTTACAGTTTTTGTTGTAGCAGAAAGGAGTCAATATTTTTCCCTTAGGTTTATAGGGGCGCATGTTGCCACTGAGGTCTGACAGGGACAGGGTATACAGAGGTACTATGTTTATACAGAGGGTTTAAGAACAATCATTTCAAGATGTGTAGGGTGGCAAATTAGGGGCTGGCAGGAAAAAACTTTTAGAGAAGGGAACAGCAACACCACCCCCCTTGGGCCCCGCCCTTCCCTTTTTCAAAAAATGAGGTGTAGGGCCCGCAATTCTTGCAAAATTTCTGGAGTCCTTCAAACCAAAAATGTTTCCCAAAAACAGCTATTTAAAGTCGGGGCGTCGATGTTCACAAAGCATGTGTGACTCTCCAACATTATAATGAAAACCCCCTAATGTTGGGCCCACAGGATGCTGATAGAAAATGGGTTTCCCCATGATAAGTTGGGCCCCTTGATGGTGGGTGTGTAGGGAATGTAAAAGGGGCCCTGCTCTTGAAAAGAGGTAAGGGGACTGAGGCAGCTGCAGGGATTGGGCGTGGTCCTTTTAAAGGCCCAATCCCACCTCTGGGCTGGGAAAAGGGGTAGCTGAGTGAGTGACGTGTGGAGTGTTTAACCCAATTTGAGATCCCGCTGGGTTTTTCCCAGAAAAGGTCCCCTAAAAGGTGGCCCTGGCTGTCCAAGTTCCTTTTCCCTTTCCGGGCACTTGGGCCCCCTTTTGTCCCCTTTTTTTAGCAGTAGTTACACCTTTTATCTCCCCAGGCGTTTTTTGGCAGGGCCCCTTCCCGGGACAGCGAGAGCCAGCCCAGGGGCCTGGGGGTGGACTAGGAATTTTTTGTACCTCCTGGGGTTTCGCAGAAATTTTTCCCGGGTTCCCGCCCGGGGAAATGTGTTAGTGGGGGGGTGAGACGGCTTTTAGAAAGTCTTTCCCCCACCACGTCCCCTCCCAAAGCCTCAACCCCCCCCCCTACCATTCTGACAGATTGGGCCCCCTGTTTGTACTTTTGGCGCAGCCGGTGGGTCAGGGCATTTAAAAATTCCCTGTTTACTAACTGCCCTTCTCTGGTGGGGAAAATCCGGCTCAGAGCTTGCTGGGCGAAGCACTCTACCAAGTTCTAAATATAAAACGGCATTTGGGTTTACAGGTGGGGATCAGAGAGGTATTTGCCTGTCAAATAGAACCCGGCATTGGGTGAAACAGAGATGTCAGGGGGAGGAGAAATTAACAATCCAAGGCCCTTTCCCCCGTTGCTGGGAAAAAGGGTTTGTTTTCCCCTTTTGTGGTGGTCAGAGGAATTGTTTAGAATTCCCCCAAAAGGGAGTGTTTTGGGAAATCTGTCATCGGGGGGGACCTTAGCGATGACAGAAATTTCCCCCAAAATGTTTAAACCCCTCTCTCTCTCTCCCCCTCTCCTCTCTCCCCCTCTCTCTCCCCCTCCCTCTCTCTCCCCTCTCCTCTCTCTCCCTCTCTCTCTCTCTCCCCCCTCCTCTCCCTCTCTCTCTCTCCCCCTTTTCCCCTCTTTCTCTCTTTTCTCTCTCCACTCTCTCTCTCTTTTCTCTCTCTCCCCTCTCTCCCTCCCCCCTCCCCCCTCCCTCCCCCCCCCCTCTCTCTCCCTCCCCCTCCCTCTCCCCCTCCCTCCCCCTCCCTCCCCCTCCCTCCCCTTCCCTCTCTTTTCCCCTCTCTCTCTCTCTTCATCCTCTCTCTCCCCCTCTCCCCTTTCTCTCTCTCTCCCCTCCCTCCCCCCTCCCCCCCCCCCTCCCCCCCCCTCCCTCTTTTTTTTTTTTTTTTTACACAGGGGTTTTACAAAGGGTTTAAGGGGGCCCTTTGCTTTATTGACAAGCTATTTACAGGTTAAGGATTTCTAACTTTATTGGCAAACTAAGAGCTGTTACCTACATCAGCTCATTCAAAAGCATTTTTATTGTTATGCGACATACAAGTAGGGAACAGGATGAAGTTGGAGCCATCTGTGGGCCAGCATTTTCATTTGATCAACTGACTTCATCTCGTTGACATCATTATGCTGTACGAATGTGTTCCATACTTGAGTCATCCTGGGTATATAGGATCTCAGATGGAGTGAAGTTCTGGAGAAGGGTACAGCCAGAATGAAGTTGCTGCTTTCTGCCCGTCTTGTGGCATAAAAGCTTGTTTCACGCTGTCCTCGAAGTGGATCCAAGTGTGGTACTTTGACAATATTGGCCTTGTACATAATAGTAAGGCCACCCACATCCCTCCTATGTTGAAGGCTCTGCTGAAATGACAGATTTATCCAGGATGGGTCCAGGCGAGAGATTAGACGTCTTGCTCTGTTCTCTACTCTGTCAAGCAGTCGCAGATGAGAGGGGGGACAGGCAAACCAAGAAAGTGGAGCATACTCAAGGTGCGAGCGTACTTGTGCCTCGTACAGAATCTTGCAACCCCTACTGTCAAGTACGTAGATGCGATATACGGCGAAGTGCTGTAAGCTTCCTGGCTGCCTTGTTTGCAAGATTTACAACATGGTTCTTCATGGTTAGTTTGGAGTCAAATTTCACCCCAAGGATATCAACTTCTTCTCCAGGTGCCAACACCCTCCCATTCACCCTTACTACTACACCAGCATTACCATCATGGTGCCAAGAGACCATCATCATTTGCATTTTCTCAGGTGCAAATGTTACTTGCCATCTATTTCCCCAAGCTGATATAGCTCTTAGCTGGTGATTGATGTAGCTTAAAGCAGCCTGCATTTCTTCTCTTGGATAAATGAATGTCAGTGTACAGTCGTCTGCATGTGCAAGTAGACATTCCATAACAATGGTCCCAGCATGCTTCCTTGTGGAACACTTGCCCCAGTAGGATGTCTTGTTGATTTCGTTCCATTGAGAACTACCCTTAGAGATCTACCGTCTCTGTCTGTCTGTCTCTGTCTCTGTCTCTGTCTGTCTCTGTCTGTCTCTGTCTATTTCTCTGTCTCTCTCTCTATCTCTCTCTCTATCTCTCTCTCTATCTCTCTCTCTATCTCTCTCTCTATCTCTCTCTCTATCTCTCTCTATCTCTCTCTCTCTCTCTCTCTCTCTCTCTCTCTCTCTCTCTCTCTCTCTCTCTCTCTTCTCTCTCTCTCTCTCTCTCTCTCTCTCTCCCACACACACACACACACACACACACACACACACACACACACACACACACACACCATATTTCCAATAGAATAAATATGATTTTTCTTTCCAAGTGGTTTAGATAGTTTTTTTGAGGTTTTCAACATAGTAAATACTAGGTATAGTATTGATAGTGTTAATTGTCGGTTTGACATTTTTCATATGCACAATTGCACTTCTCATGTGTCTTCCAGGAGTTGAGCCAAGTTATACATCAGAAGTAATGTCAATTGTAAATCGACTTGCTTCACAACGCCTAATTCTGACCGAGCACTCCCGTAATGATCTGAGTCTACGCCTAAGATTGAACATATCCACTGATGATGTCACCTATGCACTGCAGAGCTCTCCAAGTCAATGAAAATGTTGCCCACAAAAATATACATGTATTCTATTTGAAATTGCTTTTTTTTTTTTACAGTATGAAGCTTAATTTGATTTGTATTTTTTTTCTTTTTATGTGGCTGGTTTTTACCTAGATAGTGAGATACAAAGATGAAAATATTTGCCAAAACACTGGCGGTTTCACAAAGATGCACGGACATAGGAGAACATCGAATCACTGAATCACAGCCCCCTCTCACTGCACTTGAAGATCATGTGTGTTGCACTTCTAAATTTATGTACGATATACGTATATAAGATATTGTATACAGTAATTCCTGATCACTATTTACATGCTCTTATATATAGTTCAAATATTTCCTTCACTGAGTTAGCTATATACATTGTTGTAATCTCCTTCATTAATTTCTCAATGCTGATTCAGCAGATTTGAAAAGTGCCTCTGTTAAAAACATAATAACATTGTATTGGATGCCAGTAGTTCAGTTTCTACCCATAAATATACTTAACTGAATTCATAGATTTTAAAAAGTGCTTGGTTGTACATGTCAGAGCCTCAATATGTAAAAAAAAAAAAAAAAAAAAAAAAAAAAAAAAGTTGCTAAAATAGGACAGCCAAATTAAGTGTTAATAATTCTTTATCATCTCAAGTTCCCTCTTAGATAATACCTGGTTCAAGCAAACTTCACATCAAATACTATAAACTGCTACTACCATACTAATTTTAATTAACAAATTTGCATGAGTGCTGAGTCGCATGCTTCTTATCACACATTAAATTTTATTTTATGATATGGTGCATTTATTCACAGAATTGTAATTGAAGTTTAAATATAGGATCAATGTATAGGTATTACAACTTTATAAACGAACTGTATGCTGCAATAGGAAAGGTATAATTATGAGATATTGACAAGCTGTTGGAGTGTGAGCAAGGTAACAGTTATGAAGGGATTCGGGGAAACTGGTTAGTCATAGAGATGGGAAATACAGTACTGTACATGCCTACACTTCGAAGGAGGGGTAAAGATATTTGCAGTTTGGAGGAATATATCTGAGCTGTAGTATCAGCATGCCTCTGGCAAGACAGTGATAGTGTGAATGATGGTGAAAGTTTTTTTTATTTTGGGGTTACCCTGCTTCAGAGGGAGATGGCCAGTGTGTTAAAAAAAATTTAGAAATTAGAAGAGGGGTTGTTAATGGCTTAGTTGTGTAGAAAAAACGTACAAACATATAGTATATTCACGGAAATAGCTAACCCTGTATAGGGTGGACGGATGGCTGGTGACGTAGGGGTGTTCCAGGAAGAATGGGAGGAAGTGTGTGAAAAGGTGATGTGAGGCAGTGACTTAATATGCAACAGGTATCTGTGAGTATGTTAGGCATGAGTAGAGGTGAATGGTCTAGAGGAGTTGATGCATTGTTGGAGTGCTAGGTAATATATACAAATGGACTCTGGCAAATGAGCTAGCCTGACTTTGTTAAGTTTGGACGTGCTGTGCATATACTCTGGAGAGAAAATCATTGAGAGTGGTAGTAAATTTTTTTTCATTAGGTAACTGTGCACAGGTGGGACATGGCTAATTTAAATTTTACATTTATTAGAGCTATTTCTAATGAGGTTTTACTAAATGTGAATAGTAATTTTAGTGTTTATTTTTGTTTTAAATAATCTGGAGAATGTTTGTTATCATCTCTTATCTTCCAGTTTTACTTCAAGTTAGCTTAGAAAACATAAAATTAGTTTCTTGAAAAGGATGTAAAATTTATAATTCAAAACTCCAATTCCTGCATAAGTGTTTATTATTTAATTATTGCATGTATGATAAGTACAGATAATTGTATGTGGACACTAAAAATTGGCTACAGATCATCATTCCAGCAGTGTTCATATATTTTAATGCAGATTCAAATTTCTTTTGTATTTATAAATATTATTTAATTGAATGCATGTTACACAGGAATTTCTATTTTCTATTTTGTTTTATTTTCATTTTATTTAATAAAGATTACTTGCGAGGAAACATCGTTTTATTGTCTAACCTAAAGACTATTAATAGTTATTTATGGAATTTGTATTATTGCTACAGTTAGATTTATTTTGCTACATTAGCCTCTTCAAGGGGGGCTCCTTGGCGCGGTGAAGAGGCTCTTGGTCTGAGGAATTAGACCTGTTGGTCTCCTTCCTCAGATCGAACCTAATTACCCCCCAATCCCCCCTTCCCTATCCCATCCTCCCTTTTTCCTTTCCTCCTCCTCCTCCCTGTCCCTCCCTTATTCCCTTCCTCTTTTTAGCCTTTGGGATTCTTCCCACAGGCACGCTTGTTCCTAGGCAGGGGAAAGGGTACCGGGGTCCATCCCATTCCGTTGAGGTTCTTGGTGGTGGTGTAGTTTGCCGTGGAATCTGGATTGCCTGGGGATGTCCTGATCCCTCTCCGGTCTCCCGGGGGGTGGCTTTGGGTGTCTTTCAGGTGACGGGTGTATCTCTTGAGGCCACCTTTCAGATTCCGGGGGTAGTGGCCAAAGGAGGTATGCTTTGTGGCGGATATCCGGCTGCCCTCTCTTTTGTCCACCAAGGTAGCTCAGCAGATGTGAGGTTGCTATCCCAGATTGCTTGTTTACTGGCATGAAGGGTAGGGTATGGCACGGGTTCCATGCTGCATCTGCTCTACTTGCGGTGCTGAGGTCCTCTTGGGCACGGAGGGAGATTTCCGGCCCTTTCATTCCTCCTAGGAACTATTCCTCCCCGTTCCCCCCCCCCCTTTTTTTTTCTTTTTTTTTTTTTCTTATAACCAAAAAGAAAGAAGTAACCTAACCATGGAGGACGCAATCCACGACCCTGCTACCCCTGGGCCCCTTCTTGTTACCGCACCCCGTTCTGACCCTGCCTTGTTTTTTCACCACTCTTCAGACACTTCTAATGCCCCTGTACCTCTTGCTTGTGCTGTTTCATCACCCGCTTCAGGTACCGGAGTTTTGACTGACTCCTTCGATTTGTCTGACCTCCATTCTCCTTTGACTATGCTTCAGGCCTCTCCCTCTACGGTGCGGCAATTTTCGAATCGCCAGCCCATCCCACATCAGACCAACTCCGGTCCCACTCCTAAATGTCAACAACATTTTCCTGATGATACTTCTTCGCCACCTTCCCGTTCTACTCAGAAAAGACCAACATGTCATGCACTTCCTTTCCACACTCAGTTTCGGAATGCACAATGGACCAAATTCTCTACTTTACGACTGACTTCTTCTATTGCCTATCTTTCCGACCATGGTATTGGCAAGGCACTCCTACGCCATGTTGGTAGAGATATTTCCTTTCACGCTCTCAAGAGCTGTACATGCATCATCACTGTCCAGAATGCTACCCAAGCTCATGATCTTTCTCTTTTTTCACATATCAATACTATTCTTGTCACAATCAAAAAACACCATTCCCTCAATTCTTGTAGTTGTACTGTCATTCTGCCCCATACCATAGTCCAACAGAATTTCCAGACGTGGCGATGACATTCTCGAACAGCTAGGACTCCAAGATCTCCCAATCCTCAAAGTAGATACTTATGTTCTTCCTGCCCGTGGGTGGAGACAATACCCTTGCAATGTGGCTCTATTAACTTCAGACAGCCATGAACTCCCATCCTCTGTTTATGTAGCAGGACATCATTTACAAGTTCAAAAAATGATCCCTACACCGCAGCAGTGTAGAAATTGCTGGCAGTTTGGTCACCCAGCGAAATATTGCAGATCTATTGCCGAATGCCCAGTCTGTGGTGCTGATGGCTATTCTAATACAGTGGACTCCCGGTATTCGATGGCATCGGTATCTGATAAATCCAGTATTCGATGCATTTTAACGCAAAAATTTAGCCTCGGTATCCAATCGAAAACCCGGTATTCAATGCGATTCATACGAGACGTGTCCACGTGTGGCCTGAATTGCCCCGTGTGTGCCAGTGTTTACAAGCCAGGCAGTGTGCGCTCATCCAAGGATACATTCGGTACATTCTATATTATCACTGTTTTTGGTGCTTGTTTCTGCAAAATAAGTCACCATGGGCCCCAAGAAAGCTTCTGGTGCCAACCCTTCGAGAAAAATGGTGCTAATGACTATTGAAATGAAGAAAGATAATTGCAAAGTACGAAAGTGGAGTGCGTGTGTCGGAGCTGGCCAGGTTGTATAGTAAACCCCAATCAACCATCTCTACTATAGTGACCAGGAAAACAGCAATCAAGGAAGCTGTTCTTGCAAAAGGTGCAACTGTGATTTCGAAACAGCGACCGCAAGTGTTAGAAGATGTTGAGAGACTGTTATTGGTGTGGATAAATGAAAAACAGATAGCAGGAGATATCATCTCTCAAGCGATCACTTGTGAAAAGGCTAGGCAGTTGCATGACGATTTGGTAAAGAAATTGCCTGCAACTAGTGCTGATGTGAGTGAATTTAAGGCCAGCAAAGGTTGGTTTGAAAGATTTAAGAATCGTATTGGCATACATAGTGTGATTAGGCAAGGCGAGGCTGCCAGTTCGGACCAAAAAGCAGCTGAAAAATATGTGAAGGAATTCAAGGAAATGTGTGCAAAGTGGCTTGAAGTGCAAACCTTTTTTGACGAAAATCACCCTGACACAGCTACTGCAAGCCGTGTTGGCAACCTGTACAATGACAATGTTGTGAACCACTTTAGGAAAGTCATAAAGGAATGAGAGGTACAGGCCTCTATGGACAGATATGTTGTGCGACAGAAGTCCAGTGACTCTCAAGCTGGTCCTAGTGGTATTAAAAGAAGAAGGGAAGTAACCCCGGAAAAAGACTTGCTACCTCAAGTCCTAATGGAAGGGGATTCCCCTTCTAAACAGTAACAAATTCGACACTCTCCCCTCCTTCCATCCCATCAATCATCACCAGATCTTCATTAAAGGTAAGTGTCAATTATTCTATTGTTATTATTCTATTGTTATTGTAATTTTTCTATTGCATTAAACTTAATATTTCATGTGGTAAATTTTTTTTCATACTTTTGGATGTCTTGCATGGATTAATTTGATTTCCATTATTTCTTATGGGAAAATTGATTTTCTTTTCAGTATTCGATGAGCTCTCAGGAACGGACTAATATCGAATACCAGGGATCCACTGTATGCCTTGTAGTCGACCTCCCTCTTGCCTTAATTGTCATGAGGCTCACCCTTCTTACTCTTGCCGTTGCCAGGTCTACTTAAATGAGTAAGAAATTCATTGCCTCAAAGAGGCGAAAGGTCTCCCTTATGCTATGGCAGTTTCTCATCTCTGCCTCCAAGGAAGACTACCCTGTATTTCTTATTCTCGTGTTTCTAAATGTCCCCCACTTCTGGGGTCCCATCTTCTGCAGCCTCCTCTATGGTTACCCCTTCCATAGTCACTCCTGTCTCTTAATTCTTTTGCTGTACTGGGCTCAGAAGTCCCTACCTCAACACCTCAGTCTGTTCTCACTTCTTTGTGTTCTTCCTCACAAGCCCCAGTATCGACAAGACCTCGTACGACACCTCCCAATCGCCCCTCTACTTCTCAGAAGTTCAAGAAATCCCCATTACTCAAATCCCCTTTATCCCCTCCTTCCCTTCTTCCACCTCCACATTTTATCTTTCCAGTCTCTGTACCTGGTTCTTCCCCTCTCGCTGGCTCTGTTACAAGTGCAGAGGTTCACCCTCTTTGTACTGGACCTTCCTTCCCTGTCCCCTCACAAGTTTCTGCCACTTTCCAGGTTTCTACCTCTTCTGTCCCCTCCCACACTTCTTCTCCAGTTCCCTCCACCCTTTCATCCCCCCTTACTTTGGTGCAGTCTATTTCTGTCCCAATCTTTACTCACCCTCCTCCTTCCATCTCCAATATTGTCTCCCATACAATGTCTTTGAATTCCGAAACACTTGAAGCTATCTCAGAATATATTGCAGAGACTAAACCATCAATGGACACTGATCCAGCCCCTGTTCCTTCTCTTTCCTCACCTCCATCTGCACAACTCCTTTCTTCACAGCGCTCCGTTCCTTTGCTACTTGAACGTTTTCCACTGCCACCACGTGGATTTTTCTAACCTCTCTAGTCCATAGGTACCCTTGCCTGCGGATTTCTGGTATCTTTATCGTTGCCAATCGTGGCCTATTTACAGTGGAATATCCATGGCCTCAGGGGTAATCGAGGTGAGCTTCAGATGTTGCTCTCCCAGTTTTTCCCTGTTGGTGTTTGCTTACAAGAACCAAAATTACACTCCGCTGTTATCTATCCCATCTCAGGCTATAATTTATTGTATTCTTCGGATCCTTTTTCTGATGGTACTGATATTCTGTACCATCGGCTGTTTATTCATACTTTGCTGCATTACACTGCAGCCCGTATCCATTTGCATAAGTGGTATACAATCTGTTCTTTATATCTCTCTTCTCGGGCATTATCTATCCTGGATGTTGCCTTTCTTGTTTTGTCCTTACCGCCTCCACTTCTGTTACTTGGCGATTTTAAAGCCCATCATATCCTCTGGGGGAGATCTCACTAATTACCGTGGCATCCAGTTGGAGGCTTTTCTCGCCTCTCGCCCCCTCCATGTTTTAAATACAGGTACTTCCACCCATTTTGATCCTCGTACTCATACTCTCTTGCATCGATCTCTCAGCCTGCTCTTCCTCCACTGCACTAGACTTCACCTGGTCTGTTCTCCCGGACTTACATGACAGCGATCATTTTCCAATCCTTATTACTTCCCCTTCATATTCACCATCTCTTCGTAGTCCATGCTGGCAATTTGATCAAGCAAATTGGGACCCTTACTCGCAACTAACTGCATTTAGTGAGGTTCCTTCTTCGTCCTCCAGTGATGAGTTTTTACACCTCTTCTCGACTTCAGTTTTAACTGCAGCTTCTCATTCTATACCCCGAACCTCGGGCAGGCATTCTCAGAAGTGCGTGCCTTGTTGGTCTCCTGCTTGTGCTTGGGCAGTACGTTTGAAACGTGCTGCGTGGGTGGGGCAGGTACCGTTACAATAGAACCAGAGAGAGACTTCTTGATT